GTTCCTGCTAATCTGAGTGAAATCCAAATGGGACTCTGTGGGGCCTCCGCACATTATTGTTATTCTATCAAATTTATTTTTGAATTTACATACAGTAAAATGTTCCCTTTTTGGTGTACAGTCCTATGAGTTTTGACAAAGGCACCAAGTCATATAACCACCACCCCATTTAGGATCAGAACAGTCCCATCATCCGCCCAAATTCTTTCATGCTACCCGTTTGTAGTCAAACCTTCCCCACCCTTCACCCTCCACAACCACAGATCTGTCGTCCATCCTTACGTTGCTGTTGCTGTTAGGTGCCGTAGAGTTCATTCTGACTCATCAAACCAAAACCGAACCCACTGCCTTCGAGTCGATTCTGACTCATAGCAACCCCATAGGATTTCCAAGGCTGTAAACCTTTACGGAAGCCAACTGCCACATCTTTCTCCTGTTGAGCGGCTGGTGGGTTCGAACCGCTGACCTTTTCTGGCCCTATATGAGAGACTGTAACTGCCCCTCAGGGTTTCCTAGGCTGTAATCTTTATGGAAGCGGAGTGCCACATCTTTCTCCCTAGGAGCAGGTGGCAGGTTTGAACCACCGACCTTTCGGTTAGCAGCTAAGCGCTTAACCACCTCGCCCCCAGGGCTCCTTTCCATTCTTACAGGCTTTTTTTCAGACTGTCACGTAAGTGGAATCAATCCGTACGTAGCCCTTCGAGTCTGGCTTCTGTCGTGTAACATTATACGTTTGAGATGCACACCACCAACACATTAGCTACGGCCTGTAGTGTCCGCAAAGGTTGCTCATCCATTCCGACACCCGGCCTCTTCTGGCCAGGGCTATTTTAAGATGTTCATCCACCCTTGGCATGCTTACTTTTGAAGGCTTCCCCACAGCCCCTCAAACATATCAAAATGCACCCAGTTTTCATAGTCAAGGTAACTTACTTCCTATCAAGCTTTTGAAAGGAGCTTTAGAATTTGCTTTGGAAATGACTTATTTTATGACTGGCTGTGACTCATCACTAATTATCATGAGAAAAAAATCATTTTGAAAAACAAATACAGTCATCCACCACATAACGTCCATTCTGGCAGCAACTGACCACATATACATTTGTGGTCCTATAAAAGTTGTAACAGAGTTCAGAAATCCCATTGGAGAATGGGACATAGTGGTCATAACCCGACGTAGCCAACACAACAGCTTCCCACATACAACACATGGAGTATCTCACATCTCTCGGCTGAGCAGGTGCCGGGGGCAGCGTGCGGCCGGGCGGGGTGATGTACGCCACTTCTCCCTCTGCCGCGAGGGATTCTGGACCGGAGTGGAGCTTCCCGGCAGTCCTGAGCAGTGAGTAGCGGGCCCCGCCGCAGGCACCAGGCATCCAGGAGGGCATTCAACATGCTGGGGCACTGGGAGGGTCAGGCCAGGGTTGGAGGTTGGAGCTGGAACCCAGGTTCTGGGTGAGCAGGCAGGGCCCAAGTGTCCAGGTGCCGAGAGCTGTCGGTTGTGTCACCCTTTGGGGAATGAGCACTCCTGCTGGGACCTAAGGCCTTGGAAGGATGGATGGTCATATGAGGTTGGGCTGGCAAGAGGCGTCTGGAGCAGGGACCCAGGCATCCCAGCAGGAAGAGGTGTCTGGCATTGCCAGGCGTATAATGGTACAGTGCATATAATAACCAGTATTACCCTGCCAGATACATTAGGTGAAATACAGTACTGTATGTATACAGTATTTGGCTATTTACTCTATACAGGTACACTACAGTGTCCCATAAAGCTCTGCTAAATACATAATACGGTGTTTGCACAACATCCAAGTCACATAACGTCTTATTTCACAGAATGTATCATGGGTGTTAAGCAACATGACTACTAAATTTAACAATGAAGTTTACAGGATTGTAGATTTCTAACACATTTAATTAATTTTTATTTTGCAATTTTCTTATGTTAGAGTCAACACATTTATTTTCAACTCTCAAACATTCCTGTAGGCCCCTGCCAAGTTCAGACCCTAGGCGCCATGCCTCACATGCCTGACAGCCCTGCAAGAATCCCCTGACTAGAAAAAGTCATCATGGCTCCAACCTACACCACTGAGTGAAGGGATGGAACACTGTTTTCTTGGAATCATAACAACGCTCTTTCTAAAAAAATCATATGACACAGATAATACTTCTAAAAAATTTTACCCTGCAGACATACATGCTGTGCAAAAATGTATGGGCAAATTTGCTCACTGCAGCAATACTGACAATATTGAAAAACTAGAAACAGCCCACAGTCCATCAATAAGGGATTGCTTCCATTGTACACTCACACAATGGAATACCATGCAGCCATGAAAAGGGGTGAGGTAGATCCATACGTGCTAACATATGAATATTTCCAAGCCTAAGTCAAAACACAAGTCTAAGGAAAGAATGTATAGTCTGATTACATTTCCGTAAAAACAAAAATACTTTAAAATCATGCACAGGAAGTATGTTTTTCCTATGCACAGGGAAAAAAAATCGAAGATATACACTAAATTGTAAAGTGGTTACTTCCGGGGGGTGGGTGGGGGGGAGGAATTTCTGTGTGTATGTACGCATGTTTCTACATATGTGTGGTGTTGGGGAAGTTCTATTTTTTAATTTTCTGTAATGTTTTAATTTTTTTTACCATGAGTACATATTACTTTGGTAATCAGGAAAATGCGATAAATACTACTTTTAAAAAAACAAAAAGCAAATAGGACTATTGGAAGAAGTGAATTGATCTGAATTTCCAAGCATGTTGTGGGTTAACTTTAGACTGTTCTTGTCCCCTTCTCACAAGTAAAAAAAAAAAAAGAAACCAAACAAAAACTCCTCTTTCCCTTTCTTGCTACAACCAAATACTCTTTCACCCAACAATCATCCACAAAACCCAGAATTACCTGATACATCTCACAGGTTTCTGGAAAACAAAGACTCTCACACTGAGAAGTTTGAGAGTCTTGATTGAGAAGGGAAATTGGAGGAAGAAGCTAGCATTCAAGTTCTTCGTGATGTCTAAAATGTTCCCAAACTGGTGAACTGTGAATCCATTCGGACAAGATCCTCCGTATCTGGAAGGAACCTCAAACACCCGCAGGTCAACATAGAGATAAACACACACATACAGAACAGCATGTCATAGGAATGCAAGTAAATCATTCAGAGACGTGCTCATTATAATCAGGTATTTATGTGCCTTTGCAAAGATCTGGGAAACCAGCAGAAATTTTCAAAGCCTTGAGTCAGAGGGGGGTTCCAACAGAGAGGCAGCTTGGGAAAACTAGGCCTGGGCTGGAGCTGGAGCATGCCAAGTCCATCTGCTCAGTGTCCTGAGGGTCTTACACAGTGGTGGCAGCGGCCCTGCAGGTCTTCACTTGCTGCAGTCCTGGAAGCATGCATAGTCTCAAGGTACAACTTGACTGCTTAGATATGACAAAAGCTGGTCCAAGGGACACTGGGATGCCATGCCCTTTGCTTTCCCCCCACAATCAATTCAAAGACTGTGGGTGTCCACACCTTGGTTCACACAGTCACCTGTTCAGGACAAGCAGCAGAGAAGGGATGTTCTCCAAGTGGACCAAGTCACTTTTGTGCAGAACCAGCTGGCACTCCATCTGGCTGCCTGAGTGTCAGGATATGCCCTTCGATTCTGCTCTCTCCAGGCCATGGAGAGCATAGGCTGGCAGCTGGAGACAAGGCTGGGCCAGCACCACGTTGTCCCAGCTTTCACCTTCCCTGGCATCGCTGCCCTGGGAAGGAGGACTGAGGGAGCTGATGAAGGCTCATTTCTAAAACAGGTTTTGTTTTGCTTTTCCATTTAACAAATACAACGGTGCCCCCATTTTACCCTCTTCCACATTTTGAGTGGGCCCCTTCCCTTCCAGTTCACAGGTGCTTCAGAATGGGCTCAGAAGCAGCTCAGGGATCTGAGAGCCCTGACCCCTCCCCTACCTCAGGGAACAGACTCAACCATCCTCCAAGAAAGATGCTTTTTCAGAAGAGGGGGTGGGGGTGAAAAGAGGATTGGGAGATGGAAGATGTAGTACAGACACGAGCAAAGGGAAAGTAAAGAGAAAGCTAAGACATCTTCCTGAGTTTCACCAGAGGCGACATTTATCTACCACCTACAACACTGGGGGACTCCCTGCTTTGGGAGGAGGGGTCCAGGGAGGCCACTGGTCAATGGGAATGTGTTCAAGGCAAAGTCCAGCTTCCCTGGCTGAGTCTTTTACTTCAATTATTTGGGGTCTACCCCATTCACAGGATTAGCTCACTCCCTACCTCTGAACATTTCTCATTTCTGTAAAGTGTCCTTAAAACTGGCTCTCCTCACCTCTGGGACTGCCATCTTCCTCTGGCCAGAACCTGGCACAGAAGCTCTTCTATTTCACTTGGTCCTCTGTGACTACAGGTCTTGGTTAATGGCTCCTTCCATACTGAAAACTCTCCATACATTTCTTTTAAAACCTTTTATTCAATAATATATACTTTTAAAATTATAATATGTAACTGTCCATCATGCCATATATCCCCCAGCCCCCCAACTGTGGAGTCTGTGGTCAGCTAGTTAATGTGGCTTGCTGGAGGAACAGGTGGCCACGGACGAGTCAAGGGGCGCGGGGAGCAACAGTAACCAACAACCAATTTGCATACCCTTCATATCGCCCATGCTTTCTGGGTCAGGAGGAAGTCAACAGGAAGCCAAAGGCTGTGAACCTTTACATTCGGAAGTGAGGTTTGATATACGGTGGTGGGCTGCCCTTCAGTTGGTCTAGTTCGTGCTTGCGTAACCTGCCACCGTTTCGTGTCTGCTCACGGAACGTGATCTCTCTACACACACGTTAAGACGTTTGATTTGGTTCTTGCTCTGCTTATGGAAAAGTGGGAGGAACAGCAACAGACCTGGGGAAAGAGACGGGAGGAGGGGAAAGAAGGCATTAATCAATCTGACTGAGAGTGAGGAACGGGCCTCCACTTCTGTGTGGCTTCCTTTGCATGGAGTGCTGGGAACAGTACGCAAGCTTGCCTTTCTCACGCCACTGTGTGGGAAACCTAGCAGGAACTCCCTTTTTACTAGGTTCCAAATAGTACCCTCTTCTTTCCTCTTCCGCTCACCATTAATAGAGGCCTTCTGTGAGTGACGGAGGCTTTGGACACACCGTGTGTGGTATGGCCTGGTCTCCTACCGTTTCCCTCAGGTCCAGGGTGCAGACTTAGCAGCACAGAAGCCTCTTGGCCATTCTGTGAAGTCAAGCTTCATGGGAGCTTCAGAATATGCTTGAAGCAGATGTGGGACCTGCAAGTCCAGCAGTCCAGTCTAGCTCCTCATCAGATCTCACCCTGTGTTTACTGAGGAAGTCTTAGGACTAAGAATCAGAAGACAATTTTGAATTTACATGCGAAAAGTACTAAGTCTACTAACAAACATCAATCAGTGAGCTCAAACGTTTTTAACTTCCCACTGGACATAGCTGTCTGGCATGGCCTGAAAACCTCGCTTCTCCTTCCACGTCCAGCATAGGGAAGCGGGTGGCGAGAGGCCAGCAGCAGAATCACAGCAGTGTCTCACAGAACGCTTCTATAGCACTGAAAGGACAATGCATGCTTATACCTGGGAAGTTACCACAGAGAAAGATGGTTTCTTTGGGTAAAGGAGGGGTTCTACTTAGTATTTGAGAAAGACTATATGGTGCATAAGGTTACAAAAGAAATTACTATATTTGCTTTAAGCACTTCAGCATCTGATTTTCAAGCATCCAGTTCCAGAGGGATCAGTCAGTGGGAAGGCAGCACATTAAAGACACCATCCTTTGTCAAACAATAATGTATGCTCACACGTGCATACTTATGTCACAAGGAACAGGGGTCAGGGGATCTTCATAAATGTGGAATATCTGCCACAAAGGTTAGTCATGCAATAAACCAAGCCAATCTCAAGCAGCAGGTGTCCTGAGTGATGTAATGCGGAAGTACCACGAAACAGAACAATCTCCATCATGACATCACTCTAGTCCCACTCTTCTTGCTAAAGGTGGTTAACAGAAGCCACCATACACACATCTCTGCAGGTCAAGAGTTATCCCTCCCCTCCCCCAGGAGACAGGAAACACAAGTTAAGGTCCTCAAAGCAATAGCTGGTCTCCCACTTGGGAAGTCTGGTTATTGTCAACATTTTTATTTATGCAAACAGGATTTAACATGGCATTTTTCTTTCCTCTAAGGGCAGCAGCACGTAAGCCATACATCAGTCATCTGGGGAAACAAAGAGAGGTGGCCAATTGTGTCTGAAGTAGTCATTTCTTAAGGATCACAACCCAGGCAGTGTTGCTTTTCTGCCAACAGAATAGTCTGCTTCGCGGTTCTTGAAGATTTATCCAAGCTTTCCAGCTGGGTGTCATGGTATCTGTCCCAACCTTAGTCACCATTTACAGCAAGAAGAGCCAGCAGGTAAAAAAACTGTTAATTTATTGATTTGATCAAAGTTTTCTTTTTTTTAAAACAATCCCCAATACATGCAGTTCAGGGTGAAGTATCACATTTGTTGCACATTGTTGAGTGTCTACACAAAAGTATGCATCATCTGTATAATTCCACCATGACATCACTTTTCCCAGCCTCTAATACCTGATTGGGGTTGTTTGCATCAACACATCTGTATAGCTTAAAAGCAGGTTATTACTGGTTTTCTTGGTCAGATGTTTCCCCACTGCCTCCCCCCACCCCCGGGGTTCGTTTTTAAAGGCAGGGCATTTATTCAGTCTTAATTTATTAAGCTCACTGACAAACTTTGGCTTAATTTGGTGCTCATGTGGACCTTGCTTTTGCTTTTGGAAGAGTTTCAATGACTGACTCTGACCTGCTATTAGTCACTCCTATTTATCTGCAGGAGGGAAGTTTATTTTTTCCTGTGGGTGCTCACAGAGCAACACAGGTTTCTGACTAACCGTTTAATCTGACCTGGCATTACATTAATCCATTAACTGGGCTCTTTTAGATCTACTTCAATGCATACATAAAAAATTCTTCCAATTGTTGCTCGTATTCCAAAGTAGTTTGCTTCCATCCTCATCAACGCAGCACCTGGGAGAACCTAAGTCATTTCCCTGAGTAGGCACAGGCTTCAAGACCCACGGCATCCAGCTGTCTCTGGGATTCAGCATCTGACTGGACAGCACCACCTTTCAGTTCCACTGGAACCAATCCCGGGGACAGTGCCCACCTCAGGGCACATTCCAGAACATGAACTTGATGTCTCCTGATTTTATCCCCAGTGGGTTCCTCCTCTATAGTGTCACTATGAGTCGGAATTGAGTCAACAGCAATGGGTTTGGTTTGGGGGATGCTCCTCCTTTAGACTGTTTTTCTTACTGGTTGCTTTTCCTAACAGCTGCCTCACCCAGCCACTCTTTCCAAGCCCCAAAAGATTGTGAGCTCTTGTTTGTCCCCTCTAACCAGTCAGTCAGAGATTATCTTCCTTCTCTGCAAGGGAATACATTTGCTTTGGGCCTCCATGAGTACTAATGTGCTACAGAATGTCTGTTAGGAGACCTAGCGGAGTGACTGCTGTTTAAGTGCCTCACCGACTGGCACCGACACACCTCTCCTTGGGAAGAAGACCCAGGAAGGCCTGGTCTGCATTATACTCTCCAAGGGTTCTCCCACCCCAGCCACCTACCACAGGGACAGGAGAGGAGCAAGGCCATATGTGAACCAGAGGAGGGTGAACTGCAACCAAGCCACAGATGACACTATTTAGCACTTCATCAGTTCTGCTCTCACCGTGGCATTTCTCAGCCGAAGCAAAGTCTCGCAGTTACGCTCACTTGTGGCCAATCGACTACGACACAGGAACTGGTTTTGGCATAGGAACCTTCTGTTCTCACCATACCGGGTCTATGTTCTTGAACGTAGGCAGTACCTGAGATGATAGTGAAACACTACCCTGTTCCCCACATTTTTTTGCTTTTCTTTAGGAAATAATTAAGTCCTATCATAGGCACTTTTAACCTGTTATAAGGTAATGGAGCAAACAAAATGTCTAAAAAAAAAAAATTACTGAGATGAGTTGAAGAAATAATAGGCTAACTAAAAAGGTTACTGGGTGGGTCAATCTACCATAGCTTACTTAAGTCTAAATAGACCCTCCCCCGCACACACACCCCTCTCCCACACTCATCCCCCTTTTGGAGCTCTCCAAGTCCACCTCCTCACCCAGATAAATACTCTAAACTCTCAGGGGTGGTAGGTCCTTCTGGACACAAAATGGTTTTGGAGACAGGTCAAAGAAAGAAGGTCTGGACGAGACTCACTTCAGTTTGGGAAAGAAAAAGCCAGAGTTGGATAGCCAGCAAGTCCAGGTGTCAAGATCAGACTCAGAAGGGAGTGAGCCTCTCATACCCAGCTATGCTGCAAGTCTCAGGCATGAGCAGTGGTAAAAAGCACAGGTGCTGGAAAGTAAACTGTATGCATAAAAGGAAGAATGACTCCTACGTCCCAGCTGCAGTTACAGAACCCGAGGACAAGCATGTTAGCTGTTTACACTAAATCAAGATCACAGCATAGAGAAGCAAAGGTGGACCAGCTGACTCTTCTCCATCAGATGCTTTTATTGCCTCTGGGGGAACCAAGGGAGAGAGATGGGATTACTGCTTCACCGGATTCTCCAATAGGCTCCTCTTGCCTGGTCTAGACAGGCAACTTAAAAAAAAAAGTGGGGCTGGGCGGGGAGTGGGTGAGGAGGGAGATGAGAGGTAGGGAGGCAGGAAAGACACACAGTGGCACATCTCCCTGATAATAACCAACGGTTCAGTAGTACCTATAAGGGCACATTAGAAGGCTTTTGATAATCCAGAACACTGAGTTTTGCTGCCTGACACACTGATAGAGGTTCAGCCAAGATCTATGTCTTGTTTTTGATTTTCAGGTAGAAAAAAATGTATGTTAAAATACAGAACGTGCAATGTAGGCAGGCAGGATTGTTATGAGAACCTTAACTGAATGCATTTCCTGACTTTGGGATCTTATTTTATTTTTTAATCTGTAAACTCAACTCTATAAGAGAAGAGTTTTATCTGCTTTTTAGTTCCCACAGACCAAATGACAAAAATAGAATCTACATTTACCGATAGGACCTGCTACCAATACCAATACGATTTTAGTGGAATATGGAATGTAAACAGATGTTTCAAACAAATAATCTAATCTTATAAAAATGTATGGCATTAGTAAATAGTTAATAAAGAAATCCTATAGTGTGATGTGGTGGTAGACACCTCTAGCTCTAACCTAGGTGTGTGAAGTCCCCAAGCTATAGCAAGACTCTGCAGCTGGGACTCCCAGGGGCAGCAGCTGGGGTAAACAGACTGACTACCTGCAACCATGTTTGTGACAAGTCCCCAAAATGAAATCAGCCCTTTTTGTTAAATAAAATCTAGCTTCCTTTGCTAATGTGCAGGTTAGCACAATGGATCCAAAGCTTTAATACTTGCTCCAACAGCTCCACTTCACCCAAACTCCTTGTATATTCCTTTCCTTTCAGTTGCTTGGGTTACTGGGTGGCCTGGCCCACACAACTCCAGTACCTGCATGTGAAAAAGACTTATCTTTTCCATCACATTCATGTATAACATAACGGAGCTTAAAAATGCATGACCCTGATTATAGTGGGAACTCATTTCTCTCATGGGGATAAAAGGGGAGAAAAGGGAGGACTGCATTTCTCTCACCCAATAAGTCTTTCTTGAATAAACTCTAATAGGACTTTCTTCTCCCTCCCCAGCCTGCCAGAAGACTGACTCTCCAGCTTTAGTTATGGTTGTGAACAGAAAGTCTTTGTTTCAGACAGGTGTGCACAGGGATGTACAGAAAATGGTGAGTCTTCCTTATAAGGCTGCTAAAAAAAAAAAGCTAAACAAAAAAAGAGCAACAAGATTTTATCATTAGGCAAATCAACAAGGTTACAGTGAGCTCCAAGTTAGACGCTTAGCATCTATCTTTTGATGAGAGTGATGGACCTGTCTGTGGCACCCAAGGTCTAAAGTGATGCCACTTGACATCAGAGAGGATTCTTTTGAGAAAGTGATTGCAGTTTGCTCCCAAATGAATCCACTTAGAGAGAGACTGCAAGGATGAGGTACATTTCCTGGAGAGCTCATATCATAAAAAAAAATACATAAAACATGAATTTGTAAAAGAGCTTAAAAAAAAAAAAGAAATACTGTCACTGTTTTAATATCTCCTTTTCATAAATGAGGCTGGTGTGTCAGTATAGACTGCTGACGTCAAGCCTGAATCTCACCAAAGGAAACCCAGACCACAATGGAATAGATAGGAAGTCAGATATTCAGAGCTTGTGGACTGAATGGGTTAATTCAACAGTGGCCTCCTATTAAATAAAGGTAAATGGACACCAACTCCGAGTCTCTCATCTCCCATGCATTCCAAAGGGAGAGTTCCCTCAGATCCTGAACTATGTGCATCCTCACGCTGCACCATGGCAGCTCCCTGGAGACTAGACTGGGGAGTTTCTGTCTTTCTTTCGTTTTGACTTTTAGGTCTTTACTCTCTTCTCTGAATTTAGAAGGAATGATTAGAATTTCTTTTTATCACACTGTAGTTTTCCTTCAAGGTTTGTGTTTGGTTGGTTGGTTTTATTGGCAAGCATCAATGCCGCATTACCCATGGCTCTCCCGTCTTCATCGTGCTGCCGAGAGACCACTAGAGAGCACGGCGTTATCTGCACAAGGCTGTGACTGCTCCTTCACCACAGGGTCTGTAAGAGAACAGGACCAAGGTCAGCCACACCAGGCCTGGTCGGTGCAGGAGAGAACGTCACGACAATCCCCCCTTCCAACCCGCCACGAAAGAGAGAGACAGACTGCCAGAAAAACCAGGGACAGTACTGCGGGGGGGGGACAGAAATCCTTGTCACAGAATAAACGTTAGGTAAAAACTAGACACTGAAAAATGACCAGGGGGATTGTTTTTGCAATCAACTCTTAAACTTCCTGAGAGCACAAATTCAACTGCTGAGACCCATGGAAAAGAGAGGCCCAGAAACACTAATCTCCCACTGTTCAAAATCTCCACCAATTTTCTTATGTTATTTTCTTTGAATATCAACATCAAATTCAAGCCCTAATTTGGCATGTGCAGTAATAAGCACTCTAGAGGAAAGAGTGAATAATAAAGAGAGCCACTAGAAGACCTATCAATTTTTTTTTGCAGTCTCTGCACGTACACCTTAGTGACATTGATTACATTCTTCGAGTTGTGCAATTATTTTCAACCTCCTTTTCTAAGTTGTTAAGACCTATCAACTTAAAGCAACAGAATTTAAAAAATCTTTTTGCTGAAGAACGAGAAGGATGACGTATACACAGAAAATTAAGACAGATCATGAATTACACATTAGAAACATTAGTGTTCTTAATTCATTCTAAAGCAAAGGGTAAAAAATAGCTTTCTGTGCCAGAAATTAGACATCTGAGTTGCACTTGGCTGAGGTCTAACAAGACTGAAGGGTAAAAAAACCTCTTAAATCTACTGTTTACATATGCTTATGGGTAAAGAAAGGCTCATCGAAAACAAGGGAAACACTCCATGAGATGAAATGACCTAACAGCTCCAACAATGGACTGAAACATACCAACAACTGTGAGGATGATGAAGGACCAGGCAATGTTGTGTTGTTATACACAAGGTCACCATGAGTCAGAGCCGACTCGATGACAACTAAGACCAATAACAAATGGACCAAGAAGTTCAAGACCATTAGTGATGAATTGTTCAGGCAGGAATTTAGTTAATCTCCAGAGGAAAAAAGGAGAAGCAAAGACTGCACAGTGGTCAAGCAACAGACAAAAACGTTAAGGGTTAAAAGTTTTCATCTTGATTCAGAGACTAAATGGAGACAAGTCACTTAACCTTCCTTATTCTCCACTTTCCTCACTGACTGGACTACATCATCTCACTTTGCTGAAAAGAGTAAAGCTTATTTGAAACATACTGTATCAGTGGCAAGCATTACCTGCATGCAGAACAATCAGCAGCCACACAGACGGAACATGCACACACACTTCTGGGTGAGACATAAGACAGTAAGTCAGTTAGGACTTTAGTGAGGTCTTTCCCTATGTGCTTTCTATTCTCATATTCCTTTTATCTATTTCTTTCCTTCTTTAGAATTAGCATATTATGGCTACCTTATTACTTTTAAACTAATTACTTGTTTTTTGGAGGTGAGAAATAATCTTTGATTAGGTTTCCACACAAATGTATATACTGGACAGCAAATATTAGATGCTTGTGATTGCTTCACCCAGGGCCACAGGGGTGGTCAAAGACAGGACCCAGGGGGGTTCAGTGGGGTAGATAAGCAAACACCTTTGAGGACTAGGCAACTGATCTTCAAACTTGTCCCAATAGTCTGTAAATAATGAGGCCAAATTCTAAGGATGGTCCAGTCTAAATACCTAGAATTCTCAACTGGCCTCAACAATAAAGGACAGAAGATTTTTTTCTCTTTAATAAACTGTGCCCTCTGAAAACAGCTGCTGGAGACTCACAGAAGTACGGGTGCTCCATGGCCTCTTTGGCAGTCAGTCTCTGTTGATGGTCATATCGCAGAAGTTTGTCCAGAAGATCGAGGGCCTCCGGGCTGACAAGGTGTCTGTTCTCACTATGGATAAAGTTTTCCCAGCGTTTCCGTGAGTGTCTGAGGAGAAAAGGGAAGCATTAGTATTCTAAGACTAAAGTCAGCAAGAATCCTTATCTATGTGGGCTACAGCCAACAAAATCCCAGAATATTGCACTGATTACAAGCTCACTGAGGTAGGGACTAAATCTCACTCTTACAGTTACAATCACAGGATCCTGAAACAAAACAATATTCTGTGACTGACAAATAGAATTAATTAAAAAGTCTAACATCTGATTTAGAAATTGTGGAATCTTTCCAGATTAGCCCCAAGCTTTTAGTCAATTCTGGGTGAGGCTTGGAGGTGACTCAGTAATTTTTACTGGTCACTAGATGTACTGAAAAGAGCTATCCTCAGAAACCCAAAGGTTCCATAAAATACTGTTTGAAAACTGTCAACAGTTACTTTTTAGCACCACTGCACAGTACCCAAAAACGCAATATGCTTTAAAATCTGCTACCTTATAGAACACCCATTACACGGCACAGTAAGAAACGATACAATCTCTTCTTCAAAGCAGAATCACAGCTTTCTGAATTTGCCATTAAAATAGGCATGTGCTGCACCAGAAGGCTTTTTTTCTGAGTTAACATCACGATTTTATTGTTTTCCATTTTCTACTGATAAACAGGTTACCCCTCGGAGAAGTAAAATGATTAGAAGACACATGGAAACAATGTCTAAGTATCTCAAAGTAAGTTTAAAAAATCCACAAGAGAAAGAAGTCTATTTCAATTCTTATCTGATTAGCAAGGGGAAAGATTTTGAGGAAGTGATTTTGGCTAACCTTTCCACTTGTGAAAAGCATAAGTTAAAGCCCTCTTTCTTTCCCTCTCTCTTACTTACTGTCCCAGGATATCGTTGAAGTGTGGATCAAGGTCTATGTGATACTTCTTCAGATACCCATACAGCTCATCTGTACCCAGAACCTTGGCAATGCGAACAAGCTGAAACACAAAACAAACGGACCAAATCACTGAGCACAGAACTGACCGCCAGCCTGTGAGGCGCTGGACCAGAGAATCAGAAGGTCACCTCAGCACTACATTCCCACGGACCAGATGCAGACCAGAGGCCAGGGCGGGCAAGCAGACCCAAAGACACAAAGTTCACAAGAATCCAAATTTCCAAGCTGCTTTTAGAATGACAGCACAACTTATGACAATAATATTGTAGAAGCTGATGATTACAGGGGCATCACAATCTCTGACTAGAATCTGTTTCATTAGACTTCGTCATACCCTCACTTTGTACGCTGGGCACAGACAGCATTAGCATTATCTCTCTATATCTTTGGGGGCCTGGTAACTACCATCAAAATTTGTGAAACACTTTACCTTGTAAAAAAGTGTATATGCAGACAATGAGTGATATTTAGGAGCTCAAGGACAGTATGCCTATCTAAACATACTATTTTCTTGACCTGCACCCCAAAATAGTGAGAGCTAGATGGTGTTTGCTCACCTGGTCATAGTTGTCCTGTCCGTGGAAGAAGGGCTCCTTTCGAAAGATCATGCTCGCTAACATACAGCCCAAACTCCACATGTCCAAGCTATAATCATACATCTGAGGGAATAAGCACAGTCAGTCAAGGGTGTTAGAAACTCCTTTTTCTTATCTAAATTTAGTCTTCATTTGACCTTTGCAGATATTTTCTAACTCATAGCCAAAACAAAAAAAAAGGCAGCTAAGAAAAATCTGAAATTAGCATCTTGGGATGGAATAAAGACTGGGTTTTGAATGTATCTAAACTGACTAAATAAACAGTAAACCAAGAAAAGCCCCAAAGAAGTATAAAAAGAACCCAGAGCAGCTTCGCTAACCATTTTACCTGATAGTCCACAAGGAGCTCGGGTCCCTTGAAGTACCGTGAGGCTACACGGACATTGTACTCCTGAGCAGGATGATAGAACTCAGCCAGGCCCCAATCTATCAGTCGCAGCTACAAATACAACAGAAATAACATACATGAAAGGAGTGTTTCCAGATGCCTGTGCCTTAGAACAAAGCTATATCACATTAGATCACAATTATTCGGCCATATTAAAAATGCTAGCAGGTGCACTGGCTAAAAAATTACTTTTAGCAACTGTATAAGGGGTCGTTTCCAAAGCAGAACACTCAGAATCTTATTATCCATTTAAGGAAAAAAAAAAAAAAAAAGCCTGGCTTATCATTCTGTCCAGTCAAGACAGCGCAGTCTTTTTTTCTGCCTCCATATCTCTTACATGTGCAACACGTTCTCCCATAGTGAATGATTTTCACTATAAGCTCTAAGCATAACTGAAAGGGTTGGGGACATGTGTCTCACTCCAAAATTGAAGCACTACTCTCCCTAGTTTTTCAGTAATCTAATACTAGTTGATTCATTTACTCACCAATCAGGGACAATCAGAGTCGGATATTGAAAATAGGAGGGACCCAAGTGTACTTTTAAGGCCAGGCAGATTGGTCTGAAGGTCATTAAGAAATGAAGCAGAAACCATCAGCTGTAGTTTCTTTCTTAAGGCCCTTCAGAAAACCATGACCAAAATAAACAAGTGACTACAGTTAGGGTCAAGCGTCTACTTTCCTCGCGTACTATGCTTACGCAAAGTAGAAACCAGCATTTGGATACTGGCAAAATAAGAGTAACACAAGTCCTCCAAAGACAACAGCGCACAGGTCTACAAAAACCACGTAGGTACTGGAGAGCATTCTGGTCTGCTCTAAGCCTTCTAATGAAAGGCTTGTTGCTGCCTGGCTGCAATGGTACCTTTTTCTGTTGGTGATCTATCATGACATTGTGAGGTTTCACATCTCTGTGCATGATTCCCTTGCTGTGGCAGTAATCCAGAGCCTATTAGGTAAGAAAGCACAGAGAAAAGTAAGTAAACCCTCTACCACCACTCAATGCAAGCATACTCTCGTTATTTCTGTTTGTGACACCTTGACTTGAATACAGTCTCCCAAGGGGCAGCTTACTGTCTGTCATGAAGGAGAAAAAAATATGCTTCAGAAGGTACCCCTTGCTCTCTGTGCACATGACAGCTGGCAGCGCAGAGAAAGAGGGCTATGCGGGGAACGTCAAGGGCTATGATGAAGAAAAGGGGATGACATACTTCTTTAGGTACTCCTCTCCTACTTGTAGCTAGGAGCAATTTGTCAGCCACCTGGAGTTAAAAATCATACATTGATTTGTTGGCTTAATCTGATGTGTTTAAAACCAGATTTGGGAACCTCACTGGAGTCCCCTCTTAACAGTGGTCCAAAGGACATGTAAAATCCAAGTGGACATGAAGAATGACACCCAAATATATCTCTCAACATGGCTTGTTTTTTAGACAAACATCCCATGTAGGTTTTCTAGACTAACAAGCATCCTAATATTCTAATAAATACTAATATTCATTAGTATTTTCCTTAAATACAATCTCTGAGCCAGTGGGCCTTCAAGAATTATGATTCTCTCCACGGGAGAAAACTGCTTCCTAATATGATAGCTGATATGCAGATAAGATTTTTAAATGTACCCCAAACCAAACTCATTGTCACTGAGTCGATTCCGACTCACAGCAACCCCACAGGACAGAGCAGAACTGCCCCACAGGGTTTCCAAAGGTGTCATCTGTACGGAAGCAATCTGCTACATCTTTTTCCCTCAGAGCAGCTGGTGGGTTCGAACCACCAACCTTTCGGTCTGCAGCCAAGCGCTTTAACCACTGCACTATCAGGGCTCCTTATGAATGACAGCAACCCATAATCATATGGTACCTACATATGGTACCTACCGAGTACCCTTTAGTGAAGTTTTCCATAGGACAAGATTAGAGATTCTCAATCTTGGCACTGCTGACATTTGGGGCTGGATAATTCTTTGCTGTGGGGAGCTATCCTGTACACTGTAGGATGTCTAGCAGAATCCCTGGCCTCTATTCAACAGATGCTAACAGCACTTATCCAGTTGGGACAATGAATAATGCATCCAGACATTGCCACATGTCCCCTGGGGGCAAATTTGACCCAGTTAAGAACCACTGAATCAGACCAGTAAGGGCGTTATACTAGGCATCTTCTCCGTGGGAGGGAATACGTAAGTTAGAGAATGATTCCTAGGATCAACATTCCAGGAATAAGCTCCCCTGGTCTACATTGAATTTCTTCCCCAGACACAAAGAGTATACAATCTATGATGCCATTTGTATAAACGTCAAGAAGAGGCAAAACTAAACTACGGGGATAGAGGCCAGACTATTACATTCAGAGAAAGGGTACTAAAGAGAAGGGGCACAAGAAAGTCATCTGGGGTGTTCATAATATTCTCTACCAGCCCTGTCCAATAGAACTCTCTATAATGACAGAAATAGTCTATATTTGCATCACCTATTATGGTAGCTACTAGCCACATGAGGCCATTGAGCACTTGAAATGTGGCTAGTGTGACAACGGAAGTGCATTTTTTATTTTCCTTAATTTCATAGGCTACTTGTGGGTGGTAGATACTCTGGTGGACAGTGCACTTCTGTGTAGATCTGGATGAAGGTTTCACATATGTAAAATCCAAAACACTACACTTAAGATTGGTTCAGTCTGCTTATGTAAGTTCCAATTCATTGTTTTTTCTTTGTTTTGTTTTACAATAGTTGTAGCAAGATTCCAAAGTGGCTCTGTGACGGTGCCTTATAAAACCAGCCCCCGAGGGCAGACTTCTCCACATCAGGAGACCAGACTCTGCCGCAAACCCTCAGTGAGTCACTGAGTAATCAGTGTGCAGCCCTCAGCCTCAGTATCTCCCATGGTTTAGATGAAGTCAAGTATTTCCTCTTCCCCACCCCCATTTCAAGTAGAAAAATCTACCAAGGGTTGATTCTGTTATTTTGCCTAGCCCTTCTTCGCCCAAAGGAATAAACTAATTAGGATCACAATACCTGGGATGTGAAAAATACCTGCTGAAAGCAAAGGCTGAACAAATACAATAAGGTAATTAATTCTTTTGCCAAGTTTACTAGTCAGCCTCCTCCTGCAGCTACTGACAAGTTTTTCAATTCCTTGGGGAATTATTTCAGTTTTAAAATCTGGTATGGCTTCTGACCATTAAGCATGAAAGATGTTTTTCCAAATTTCACCTGGGAGTCTATACTTCATTAGCAGAAAGAAGTACGCCCTTACTGCCCAGCGGCTACCTCTAGAAAGCCGAAAGGACATCAGACACCAAGTGCATATGAATGATTAGCCTGTGAAGATCTGTACTGTTGGGATGTCTTTATTTGATCGAAGGACAATTGTGCTAGGTTATAAATCTTTTCCTTTGGTGCTAGCTAAAAAACTCAACACCCTACTTAAAAAGAATCAATTGGGAATTTTGAACTGCAGTTCTCACGGAGGGAATGCATGGATTCTCTGGGGAGAACCTCCAAGGAAGATGCTAGGCTGGCAGTTCTCAGGACCATGGCACTGCAAACCTCTTCTACAATGAGCCCTGCAATTCTAGGTGGTAGAGGACATGAAGAAAGGTAGAACAAATCAGCCTCTATCTTTGTCCTTCTATTCTTACTGACAAAAAGAAGACCCACTAGACAGAAGAGTGAACCCTTAAACCCACCGCTTTGGCTCTCTCTAATGACAAGTGGGTTGTGCACGTGCTTGTAAGAAAACACACTCACTTCAGAGCTAGTTCCTCAAAAGCCCCCATTTCATAAAGTTCTGCCTTAACTCAACCCGGTGTTTTGTTCAAGCAACTGTTCACAATTCCACCACAAATCCATCTTTAATTTTCTTCAATAATGCCAATACCTTAGTCATCTTTATCTTATTTCAGAGGTTCTTAACCTGAGATCCACAACCCCCCAAAAATCTCACACAAAACTTCGTACTGTCTATACATCCATTTTTTGAAAGTTCACAGCTTTCATCGGATCCTTAGTGATCCATAACTCTAAAAGCTCAGGAATTACTGGTCTCTTCCCTTTTACAAAGCTTTTTGGAATTCTTTAGCTAAGTGTTTACCTGTTGTTGCTGTTAGGTGCCACTGAGTTGATTTTGACACACAGTGACCCCAGGCAGACTAAAAAAGACCATTCCTCCATCTATCAGTAATGCTTCAAAATTTCATAGTGCTTGAGATTAGTAAGTCCCCTACAAGGTCCATCTATCACTTCTCCCTGCATATCAGGGTTAACTAGCCAGGGCTAGAGGGGCACAGGGTAGCTAGTATCATACAAGGAGATTCTGAGAGACAGCAAAAAAAAAAAGATGGCCACAAAGCCTGCCATCCCTGTATGCAAGTCTCTCTACAATGTGACTTTGCTGTTCTTTCCATCATGAGGTGGAGTCTATTTCTCTGCCCTTTGAGTCTAGGCTCGACCACATGACCTGCTCTGGCCAATCGGGTATTAGCACACATGACACAAGCAGAAGCTTTAAAAAGTGCTTATGCACTGAGGTTTGCCCTTCTATTGCTATGGGTAACTGAGGCCACCATGGGAAGAAGCCTAAGACTAGCCTCCTGGAGGATGAGGGACCAGTGGAAAGAGGCTCTGCTATCTCAACTGAGACCCCAGACATGTGTATGAGGCCATCCTGAACCATCCTGCCCCAGTCGAATCAACTCAGGCCAAAAAGAACCACCCAACTAACCCACAGAATTGTGAGAAATAATCATTTAAAAAATGTAATTAAGTTTGGGGTGATTTTTAACAGAGTGAAAACTAACTAACAGTAAGCATTAATTAAGCAGCAAAAAGAAAACCCAAGTGCCAACAAGAGCTATGAAGAGGCAGGTTCTAATCTCTGGTATGATGTTCCTGGTACCCCCTGACTTGGTCATCTTTCTCTGGAAAGTTTCTATATAAAGACTCCATGCGTTTGGGGTGATTTTTAACAGAGTGAAAACTAACTAATAGTAAGCATTAATTAAGCAGCAAAAAGAAAACCCAAGTGCCAACAAGAGCTATGAAGAGACAGGTTCTAATCTCTGGTATGATGTTCCCGGTAGCCCCTGACTTGGTCATCTTTCTCTGGAAAGTTTCTATATAAAGACTCCATGCTAGAGGCCTCTATAGCACTATAAAGGGCCTCATTAAATTCTTGGGGTATCAAGAAATATTTGGCTTTGGTTCTCTGTTCTCTCAAAAATTTCTCCTTTCATGAACAGGCCTGAAAAAATTCACTGTTTATGAATGCCACTTACTTTAAGTAGTTCATACATATAAAACCGGATATCAAAGTCTGTCAGGATCTGGTAGAGTTGCTGGAACAGATTACAGAAAACATAAAAGTTAATTTAGTCTCTCATTGCATCTTGTCATCCCAAATGTGGGCCATTCTCTGTCAACTTACTTAGTACTTAAGTCATTAAAAAAAAAAAAAAAAACCCTATCATTTTTTTACTACCTGATCTTAGACAAATGAGGACAAAGATTAAAGATGAAGGCCTAAGACTTCAATGTTTGGGAGAGAAGAGGAAAAAAAAAAAAAAGGAACCCCAAAGGAGAAAAATATTTAAGCCAACTCCGATCTTTTTAAAAACAGGCTGTTCAAATGCTCCACAATTTTACATCCACAGTTGCATTATTATGGAGATGAATGAAGTCTAAGTTGTCTAACTGTCCTCATATTCTTACAGTACATCCAACAAACTAACCCCACTGCAGCACCACAGTACACTTAGAGAACTGAGTTCTGAGTGGATAGCAGAGCTCTGAAGAACTTCACCGGCTGATGTGGTAAGACAGTAGCAAGAGAGGCTGCTTGAGAAAGAAACATGAGGAAAATGAGAGCTTACAACATCTGAAAACGGCAAGAGACTTTCTAAAAATCTACCTCACCCCTCCCCAAACCAAGTCCAGGCTGGAAAAAAAAGAACATCTCACAGGCAATAGTTGATGGGAACTAAAGAAAACACAGAAAGAATGGTGGTGGTGGAGTGAGATGTTACAAAAAAGATAGGGGTACAGAAAATGATCACAGGCCAAACTGACATAAAAATGAAAAACTTCATTATTGACAATCCAAAGACCCACCCACTGGGAGCTCTACAATTTCAGTTTCTATGAGGGAGGGCATCATTTATGCATCAAGGTTCATTAAGATCACCATAAAATCTTGTCAGAAACTATACTAGTAGCTTTAAGCTAGAAATAGAAGTACCATACAATCCAGCAATCTCGCTCCTTGGAATATATCCTAGAGAAATAAGAGCCGTCACACGAATACATATATGCACACCCATGTTCACTGCAGCACTGTTTACAATAACAAGAAGATGGAAACAACCTAGATGCCCATCAACAGACGAATGGATAAACAAATTACGGTGTATTCACACACTGGAATACTACGCAACGATAAAGAACAACAGTGAATTTGTGTAAACATCTTATAACATGGAGGAACCTGGAGGGCATTATGCTGAGTGAATTTAGTCAGTCACAGAAGAATAAATATTGTGTAAGACCACTATTACAAGAACTCAAGAAAAGGTTTAAACACAAAAGAAAACATTCTTTGATGGTTACGAGGGTGAGGAGGGAGGGAGAGGTTATTCACTAAGTAGATAGTAGACAAGAATTATCTTAGGTGAAGGGAAGGACAGCATGCACTACAGGGGAAGCCAGCACAAATGGACTAAACCAAAGTTAAGAAGTTTCCTGGTACAATCGAACACTTTGAGGGATAGAGTAGCAGGGGCAGGGATCTGGGGACCATGCTTTCAGGGGACAGCTAGGTCAACTAGCATAACAAAGTTTTTAAAGAAAATGTTCTACATCCTACTTTGGTGAGTGGAGTCCGGGGTCTTAAAAGCTAGCAAGCGGCCATCTAAGATGCATCAATTGGTCCCAACTCACCTGGAGTAAAGGAGAATGAAGAACACCAAAGTCACAAAGAAAGTATTAGCCCAAGTGACAGAAAGGGCCACATAAATCAGAAACTGCATCAGCCTGAGACCAGAAGAACTAGATGGTACCCAGCTACCACCAATGACCGCCCTGACAAGGAACACAACAGAGAGTCCCTGATGGAGCAGGAGAAAAGTATGGTGCAGTACTCAAATTCTAGTAAAAAGACCAGACTTAATGGTCTGAGACTGGAGGATCCCCAGAAGGCATGGCCCCCGGACTCTGTCAACCTAGAACTAAAACCATTCCCGAGGCCAGCTCTTCAGACAAAGATTAGACTGGACTATGGAACATAAAAATGATACTCGTGAAGAGTGTACTTGTTAGCTTAAGTAGATACATGAGACTAAATGGGCAGCTCCTGTCCGGAGGTGAAATGAGAAGGCAGGAGGGTCAGGAGCTGGTTGAATGGACATGGGAAATCAGGGGTGGAAAGAAGGAGTGTGCTGTCACAGTACAGGGAGAGCAGTTAAGGTCACGTAACAATGTATGTATACATTTTTGTATGAGAGACTAACTTGAATTGTAAACTTTCACTTAAAGCACAATTAAAAAAAAACAAACTGTACTACTAGCTTTGATACTCAATCAACTCCAAGTAAATCTCTTTCCCCATCAGGCCAAGCAGCATTTTCTAGAAAAGTAATCACCACACCTTTATTAAACTGATTTTGCTCCTCTCTTCAAGCAATATAGGGAATCTCTCCAAGGAGCACACAACAGTGTATACAATGTGCTATCATCTGTGTAAAAGTAGTGGGAGTAAAATGACATATTCATATTTGTTTGTATCTGCAAGAATGATATAGAAAAGACTAATAAAAAGTGGTTCATATTTATTTGTGGGGGGGGATGGGCAGCTGGGAGTAGGGGAATAAAGTAGGCTTTTCACTGTACCATTTTTTTACATTTTTGATTCATAAAAATATACTGTGTGTATATATACATATACTAAAAAAAAAAAAACCCGTTGCCATGAAGTTGATTCTGACTCATAGCAACCCTATGGGGATAGAGTACAACTGCCCCACAGGGTTTTCAAGGAGCAGCTGGTGGATTCGAACCACCAACCTTTTGAGTAGCAGCCAAGCTCTTAACCACCATGCCACCAGGACTCCATATTTAAGAAAACATCAAATTTGCAAAGAATCAAATTTAACATTTTCTAAGAACACCAGGACTTAGATTCTTTCTCTAATTTCCCATTTTAGGTAAGAGTAATTAATTCTCCCTGCCAGCTTAGTAAGAATATTTTATTTCATCAACTTCAGATAGCTGCTAGCTCAGGGCACTGTAGGGAATTAAATTTACAGGCCAGGACACTAGTGGTGCCTTGGAACTGTTCCAGTACTAGAGGCTGACCCCACTTAGGACTGAACCGCAATTAAGCAGAGTGGCATAAACATGCCACCACTTCTGCTCAGGAGAGCTTCGGCCGCAAAACAATCAAGTGCCCAAGTTTTTTGCTCTTCTCCAGCTCTGCACTGCAAGGAAGCTTCTATGCCAATACTCAGCTGCATACCTACAGCCCGTACGTACAGACATAGGCTGAAGATACCATCTCTTTGGGCGTTAAATCAGCTCCATCCCCAAGAGTTATTAGGGAGATCACTCCCAGCGGCTGTGCCAAACTGAACCTCAAGTCAATAAGCAGGCCATGGAAGTGGAAAGATCATTTCCCAACCCTCCAAAAGCTGGTATGTTTTATTTCCAGAAAACCAATATGGGCTATTTTATTATCTGGACATTATCTGTGGAAGGCTTTCCTCTCATATCTTGTGGTATCTAAACCAAGCATTGGTGTAAATGGCGTAAGGCATAAAAAATAGACACCAATTGGGTGACTCAATATTTCTAAACTCCTCCATTGAAATACGTCAAGGGTCCACTGTACAAATCAGTACCGAACCCATTTTTTCCACATTAAACTCCCCAACCATATTCTTAAGTCTTCACATAGCAGAGACTATGCTTTATATACCCCACACAATCTATGCCCTGCACACAAAGACAGTCAATACAATATTTGTCTTTCATGATGCTCACAGTCAGTGGGACAAAATAAAAACTTTCTTCCAAGAAACAGAAGTTCCAAGAGTCCATAACAAATAAGAAAGGGAAATTTCACAAGAACCACACTTTTCCTCCATTCTTATAAGCCAGTTATGTAGAGAACATTATTAACCAACCAACTGCAAAATGTTGGCAAGAATAAGCTTTGGTTAAATTTTCATAAAGTGATTTATCAAAAACAAAATAAGTCTATGCTTCCCAGGAGATCATTACAAAAGCGGTAAGGAAGAACCACTCACCATATCCAGTTTGGCTCGAAAGCCTGAGAACACATAGGCATGTCCCTAAAAATCAGTTCTACCCTAGGACCACTCTAAAAGGGACCAAGGTGGAGAACTTCTAGAGTCATTTCCTGGGGCTTTTAATTAATCCCTGAAATCTGAGGAAGAGAATGGCAGAAAATGTAATCTGATCAACAGACTGAGGGGCTTCCTTGGTCTAAAACCATAGACATCAGAATGGAATGCCCACAGGTGGGCCTCACTCCTGCTGTACACATACAGACAGAGGTCTTCAAACTCCAGCTGTGGCTCAGCCGCACCATAATCACCTACAGATTCAAAGGCCCCATCCCCAATAATTCTCATTCAAGAGACTAGGAGGACGCCATACTTTGAAAAAGTTCCCAGGTAGCTCTGATCATCAGCCAAATGTGGGAACCACCACACAGCAAACTCTTATCCTGCACAAGCAGCTTGCACATTCCCTGTGCAACAGGTCAGTCTATGTTCTGAAAACTCTAGTGGTCCCCACACAGGGAGAAGAAAAGCAGGGGAGAAGAAGAAAAAGCAGGGGAGTGGGGTACCAAATGAAAGGCAAGCACCCATTTCAAATCGAGGTATTTAACGCAGCAGTCACTAGCTTAAGTATTGTTAATACCTAGCCACGAGATCCAGAATAAAACCAAGGTCAACATTTTTAGACATTTATGGCAGGAGAACAAATCTTTAATCAAGCAAATCAAAGTTAATACAAACCACCTAAAAATGTCACTTATTTTCTTAAAGTCTTCTTACAAAGAAATGACAAAATCATGTTAATGACCTATAACAACAGTAAATGCTGCTTCTCAAATTAAGGAAACATCACTGATTTGGTCTGTGAACAAACCCTCTCAACACCAAACTCACAACCTCAGCTTGTCACGGCCTACCTCTATGTCAGTGATTTAGAAATTCTCCAAGGAACACTAAGGGTCTTTTTTCAGGATGCAGCCTATTCAGAGGATCTTACCAATCTTTTAAAACGTCCAAATGAAATATTTTACTTAAAATGTATA